ATTGCCTACTTACAACCAGATAAGGATGATGATGGGCTCTAGCTCCCGTCTGGCTCCACTGGTCTGGTGTAGAACAGACTCTCTGGAAGCGGTTTGTAACTGTGGTCACAAAAATCAATGTTCTGGGATCAATGGGAAGCAGCTCCATTTTTTTGAGGGCCCTTTACACAGCTCAATGTCTGGGTCCCAGGATCCACCTTCATGTTCCACCAATGAGTTTGTTCACAGGGGGTGGAGTGTGTGGGGGGGATGTCCTGATGTGTGTAAGGAATGCATTGTGTGAATCTGTGTTTGTATGTGTAAGGGCTGCAAGGTGAGTTTGTGTATGTATGGGATGCAGTATGTGCGTCTGTAATGGATGCATTGAGTGTGTCTAAGGGGTGCATTGTGTGTTGCTGTAACGGATGCATTGCTTGTGTATGTGTGTCTGTGTGTAATGCATTGTTTGTTTTTCTGTGTGCAAGGGGTGCATTGTGTGTGTGTGTGTGATGTATGTCAATCTCTCCCAGGGGAGGGCTGGCAGCCTTAGGCCTGGGGGGGCAAAACCAGTCAAGTGGCCCATTGCACCACCAAATCAGTTCCCCAATCCATGCCCACCTGGTTTTATAACGGATATTGATGTTATGCTAATCAGTAGCTCTTTGCCATACCCGCTCCTTCACTTTCAATGTTGTCAGAGCGCACGCTGAGAATCTCTGAGCCTGTGCTCTGACTCACTAACTGAGCGCCAGAACCATGAGAGAGAGGATATAATCTGACTGCACCTACTGCTGGTGCGCACCAGTGGACCACCAGCGAATCATTTAAATTGAATATGCTGGGGTCCCCAACTTGTGAGCTGTGTTGGCCGCCGGGCGCCTCTGTTGTCATGGCACCCTGCATGACCACACAGCTTGCCCACCCCAACGTCTGGCCCTGCTGACACATACTGATGTTACTACTTAGAAATCCCTCAATATTAATACAGACATCAGAGTAAACACCAATAAACTGTGCAAATAGAGCTGATCCCCCCAAAGATTTGCTGAATGGATTTGTTGTAAGATTGAATCATGCCTCCTCCTCTCCCTCTCCCATGCGCTGCGCTGTAGGCTGGGAGAAAGTGAAGAGTAATCACATTCTCCCAGCACAGTGCCACCTGTGGCTGCATGGGGAACAGCTGTTTAATGTAATGCTTGCAGGACGGCTACCTGCCGCAGAACCTCTTTGTTCCCATCGCTGCAAAGGGCTCCAGGCACTGCTTGCTGTGAGTGTGAGCTACTGTAAATTAGTGGCAGAGGGCACTTGCACTGCGGTAAAGACAGGTTTGGGCAGGAGGAGAGTGCAGTGCAATCCCCTCCTGTGGGTCACCAGTAGACACAGTGTAGACACAGTGTGTGTTTACATTAAAAAGCCTGCAGGGACCGGCTATAGACACCAGAACCACTTCATTAAGCTATAGTGTCCCTTTAATGTGAGGTAAATTATAGATTAGTGTCACTAATAATATACTAGATTGCCTACTTACAACCAGATGAGGATGATGATGGGCTGCGGTTTGGCTCCACTGGTCTGGTGTAGAAGAGGATCTCTGAAGGCTGTTTGTAACTGTGGTCACAAAATTCAAAGTTCTAGTAGAATGGGAAGCAGCTCCATTTTTTTGGGGCCCCTTAAACAGCTCAAGGTCTGGGTCCCAGGGCCTGACGGTGAGTATGCCCATAAGGCCCACCTAAAAGTCCACCTACATGTTCCACCCATGAGTTCGCTCACAGGGAGTGGAGTGTGTAGGGGATGTGTTATGTGTTATTGTAGAGGATCTAATGTGTGTGCTTATGGTATGTAGTGTATAGGGATACCAGTTTGTGTAGGTGATGCAGTGTATTTGTAGTGGACGCTGTGTGTGTTTGTGTATAAGCGATGTATTGTGTGAATCTGTGTTTGTATGCATAAGGGATGCAAGGTGTGTGTCTGTAGTGTGTGCATTGATTGTGTGTATGAAATGCATTGTGTTTCTGTGTATATGTAAATGAAGCAGTGTAAGGGTTTGCATTGTGTGTTTCTGTGTAAAGGATGCATTGTCTTTGTGTGTAATGGATGCATTGTGTGTTTCTCTGTGTGTAAGGGAAGCATGTTGTGTTGCTGTATGTGTAGGGATGCATTGTGTGTTTGTGTATGTATAGGGATGCATTGTGTGTGTGTGCGCGTAGTGTGAAAGAGCTCCCTGTCCTGCCCCCTGTCCTATAGAGCTCTCCCCTGCCCCTTAGTGGTCTCTCCCCCCACCCTTCCCTAGCAGTCACTTCTCACACCCACCCACCCTCCCTGTGCTCTTCTCATCCCCCACCCCAAACCTCCGGTATTCTTTTCAGCCCCTTCCCTCCCTGTGTTCTTCTCACTCCCCCCCATGTGTTCTCCTCACCTCCCCCCATGTGTTCTACTCACTCCCTCCACCCTCCCTGTGTTCTTCTCACTCCCCCACCCTCCCTGTGTTCTCCTCATCTCCCCTTCTCTCCCCTCCTCCCTGTGTCCTTCTTAGTCTTCCCCCTCCTCTCTGTGTTCTTCTTACTCCCCATGTTCTTCTTAACCCCCGTTCTTCTTAATTACCCCAATCCCCCTGTTCTTCTTAATTCCCCCCTCCCCCTTCTTCCCCCTCCCTCTTCTTCTTAATTTCCCCCCTCCCCTTCTTCTTAATCCCCCCTTTTACTTAATTCCCCCTCCTCCTTCTTCTTAATTCCCCCAATTCCCCTAATCTTCTTAATCTCCCCACCCCTCTGTTCTTTTTAATCCCCCACCCCCTGTTCTTCTTAATCCCCCCACCTCTCCCACTTCTGCTTAATCCCCCACCCCTCCTTCTTAATTACCCCCTTCTTCTTAATTCCCCCTCCCC